TTTACATAGGAAGCATCTGTGTGTTGGTTTACTACCCATTAACACTTTAGATATACCATGATTTGCCATAAAATGAGGGAGGAGGGGGAAGGAGATGGGACCTGAGAAAAGGCCTGCCAGGGCTGGGGAGTGCTGCTATAACATTTCTATTTTGCTGGTATACTCAGTGAATTGTCATCAGCGTTTATTCTCTTCTACAAAGATGAAGATTTTATTTTTTCATACCTGGACACCTCAGTATTACTCCAAAGGCCCTTTGCTGAGCTCTTTCATTGGCACCATTGGCTGTGAAAGAGGAAGGCAAGGCCATGGACTGGGGAAGCAAGAGAAAGGACAGGTGACAAATCATTACCACTTACTTATATTCTTAGGAACTCTCCAATATCCTCCATCAATGCAAAAATATCTTTGGTATTTCCTAACTGTTCCTTGGCCTCAATGGCATGGTTACTGCAGACATTAGGAAGCAAGGAAGAGAAAGAACTGTAATTAGTGTTTAGTTAAATTCCTGATTTTCTCCAGTCAGAAACTTGAGCTAATATCTGCTAGCTTGCTAGTAAGGAGTTTCTGCACATCTGAAATGCTCATTTACACTGACAAGGTTTAGAATGGGGAAGGGGCACTAGATTTAGGAGAAGGAAAGTAAACAAACTAACATTTACCAAATGCTTAGCATGCATTTGAGCCTCCGAACAATGCAACAAGACAGAAATTATCAATCTCCCTTTATGGCTGAGGAAACCAAGACCCATTCTCTAGTCCAAGGCTACTAGTAGGACCAGAGTGTGAACTAAAATCAGTCTACCCCAGTCTATCAGGAATTGGAATGACTGCTTTGCTCCTGGGCGACCTTGTGGCCTTGGGCAAGGCCCTTTGTGTCTCTGGTCTTCTGCTCTTCATCTACAAAATGAGGTGAAAGATTAGATAATTTCAAAGTCCTCTCCAACTCTATAATCCTATTGCCTGAGAAATTTAAATTTACCCTTGCCAGTCCACTCTTCAACTCCCAGGCAAGAGATTGGCAGTTAACATTCACAGATGCACCAACTTACAGCATAGCAGGTTTGCATCTTTTGGCGTGAAAACAAGTAGGCAAGGTTTTAAGTACTTAATACTTCTTATAGTTTAACTTTAAATTATTTGAGTAATTAATAATCACTCATAGGCAATCAACTTTTTAAAATTCAAAAATTAAATTCTCACTTTCAAGTCAGTTCCTGCTCATG